CCCCCCCGCGGCTACCGTCTAGTCATAAATAACCCGGATTCCCTGACATTCAACCCCGGAACATGATATTTTGATACGTTAATTAAGGAAGTTTTCAACTGGTGGGAATTGATATTAGGGGGATTAGGTTGTGGAAATCTGTGGTTGGATTGTATGTCGAGAGGAGGATTTTGTTGGGGTTAAAGGGTTGTGTAATTTGACAATACGCGGGGGATAATGCTTCGTTGGAATTTTTCTTTAATTTAAGAGGTTTTGATTTGTTTTTTGCTTTCGAATAGAAGCTTTATAATTTTTCAAATTTAAGTTTTGGATTTTTTGTGTTAGGATAACCGCATGTCTTTTTCTTCATTTTTAAAAAATTTTTTTAAAAGGGATTCATGAACTAGGGGGCTAGACCCCCTGCTCGCTCCGTTCGCCAACTCCCATATGACCGCCATGATCCTTATTCTCACCCTTGTGACCGTCATTCTACCCCTCGAGACCCTTAATTAATTTCGAGTACCAAATTTTCATCACCAGAAGTCGATTAGGATTTTTATGATATAGAGAGATATAGACTTAAATAAGCTCGATTCATTGACACCAATTAAAATTCAATTTTTCATACAGATAAAAAAAAATTGATGTTTTTTCAAAAATTGATTTTTCAACGATCACTTAAAAAATTGTCATAAGAATAGAATTAATTATGGATCAAAAAATTGATAATAATACCCTTTTGATTCTATCAGAATATGATGGGAATCGCAGAATTCGAAAACTGGAAGACGTTGAAATGAAGAACAACTCGTTCTTCCCGACATCAATATCAACATGATCGTCCTTTTCAATCCCAAAAATCCACCCCGATCAACCATAAACTAACACCCCAAATGAATCCCCTGTCTCAAATAACAAACCAGTAAACACGAGAAACTCGCCGAACCCCTTTCCCCCATCTCCCATCGCCCACGCCCCCTAACTCAACAGCAACCCGTAAGGAAATAGCCAAATAAATAATGTCGTAGTTTAATCTTACGACGCGAGGAGCTCTCGAGCGCCGACAAAAGAAACTAAGCTTGAGAACAGTGAGGGTGGAATGCAATACGTAACGATGGGTATACAGTATTCTTCCCCCGTTGGCAAATCTCCCTATTCTCCTTCAACTTCGTCTCTTCCCTTTTCCCATTTTCGTCGATGGCTGTTGGCACCCCACGACTCACAACCGTTGACAACACCTGTCTCAGATAGAAAGTGACGCGTTCAGAGACCCCTACTCCCTCCCCCACAACCCTCTTTATTTCTGACTTTGAATGCCTTTCCTCAGAGTAAAGTCACTGGTAAGTCCCTGACGGATATAACGCCAAATCCCGGCCCTCGGGGGGGCTCAACGTTGATCGGTTGGCAAAGGTATGGGACATCTCTCTTACCCTTACTTTATACTACACCATCTAACCTCAGCAACTTTGAATGCCCATGGAAAGATCCATGTGATGCGGAAACAATTGCAAACTCACTGGGTGTATTGAAGTCGTTGTTGCAGTAAGCCCAGTGGAGACGCGGTGAGAAGGAGGCGAATGTGTAGAACAGTGTCCATGCGACTAGGACCATATAGTAGATGGTTACAAGGGCGATTACAACGAGGGTGCACAGCCCGATGCCGCGGAATGCGGGCGAGATCCGGGTGTATGTCTCGACCGGTCCGACGCCAGTGTACTGACCCATGCAGAGCTCGAGGTAGAAGATCGGCAGGCCCATTGTTATCAGCATGAGAACGAAGGGGATGAGAAATGCACCTGAAATGTGAAAAATTGGTTAGTTGGTATGGGGTGAGTTGTTGGGGAGCGAGAGGGTCAATAGGGAGAGATGTGGGAGTATATGTAAGGGATAAATGATCATGAGGGTCAAGTGGTATTGAATATGGGATGGGGTCTTGAGATCGTTTGACCTTTGATGAGGGTCGTGAACGTCAAATGGTCATGAGGGCCAAGTGGTCTGAAATGTGAGATAAGGTCTTCGGCCGTTTGACCCTTTATGAGGGTCAAATGGCCTTGCGGGTCAACAGGGAGAGACAAGCAGAGTGATCGTAAAGGTCAAACGGTCTTGAAGTTGAAATGAGGTTCAAATGATCTTGAGGGTCAAATGAGAGGGTTGAGGGTGTATAAGGGTCGACCCTTGATGAGGATCGAATTGTTGAGGGTCAATTGGAAGAGACGAGCAGAATGATCATAAGAGTCAAACGGTCTTAAAATTGGAATGAAGTTCGAATGATCTTAAGGGTCAACAGGGAGAGAGGAATAGAGTATTCATAAAGATCAAATGGGAGAGTTGATGGTGTATAAGGGTCAAATAGGGTCTTGATGGGGGTCAAAAGGACTTCAGGTTCAACATCTCAAGGAACAAACAGGAGAATTGAGAGTATAAGGGTCAAATGGATTCGTTCAGATCAACAACGAGAGATAAGAGGGATCGTGAGGGTTAAACGGGAGAGACGAGTGTCTCCATAAGGGTCAAATGGTCTTAAGCACCCATAACGGTCTCGCCACCGTCTGACCCTCAAACGGCGGCGAGACCGTTATGGGTGCTTAAAACCCTTACGATACGTTCACCCCTCTCCCCCATTCGACCCTTTCAACAATTCCGTTGACTTTAACTGATTTCAAATTCATCTTATCAAACACCACGTGCCCCATCCATCCCTCTCAGCTTGAATTATCACTCCCCCCCGAGAAATGAAAAAATTCCCCAGTCGACTGACGAAGGGAAATGGGATATCCGTGGTACCCCATTTTCCCCTCAATATTTCGAACGTCATTCGAGGAGGTACATCCAGGCGGATCCTCAAGAACGACGAAAGGCAATATCCACTGTACAAGGGGAGAACGAGTTGAGCGGTCGACACGCCCATCCTCTCCTTCACTCTTCTCTCACTTCCTCTCTCATCCCATTCCCCCGGTTTACACATCTCATAGTACCCCAGGTATTCTGCACTCACTGTGTACACCAGAGTACTATGTCCTTCTGACCCTCTCAAACGGGTCTATAACGTTCCCTCTGTGTATCTGGAGTGGCTTCGTACCCGCTTTGAACCTTGTACCCTGTCATTGGACGCCTGGGTGTCAGGGACACCGGGCACTTAGTTCCAATTAACTCGTGAAATGCCGGGATTATTTTCAAGATTGTCTTGCTCACTTCACCTCCTGTCGCTTGGACGGTGGCCAAAAAAATTGGCGGTAATGGAGCTTTTGTTTTCTACCACAAATAATCTTTCACTGAGGCTTTGAAACCAGCTGAAGTCCACCAGAAAAATAATTTAGGATATTTTTGTTGGAGTTTTTAAGGTCGATAAGAATGTTTTTTCTCATTTAATTAACAAATAATTAGTTATCGATTATTTATTCCTCTCACTTCAATTAAAGAGTCATAATGCGGAATTAGATCTCATTTTTGAATTTTAATTTAGCTCGTATTAGCTCGTAATTGTTATTCCACATATTTTTCCGTTTAGTAAGATTTTGCAACCCGAGAGAAGTTTGCAACCCGTAAGATTTCCTAGTAGCTGCAACTACTAGCTCGTAATTGTTATTCCACATATTTTTTCGAAAATTTTGAAAAAAACAAATCATTCGTAGCTCAGAAATTGGAGGCCCTGGACTGTTTTTGGCATTTTAAGCGTTTTCGGACAAACGAACAATTGAAAATTTTTTTCTTTGCACTAATTATTCATTTTCAGATCCATATAATCGATCTTCAACGTATGAAAAGTCTCACTCCAATAACCCACGACTTTTAAAACTCACAGTAGTCTCTCCTTAATTCAAAAATGAGATCTAATTCCGTATTATGACTCTTTTAATTGAAGTGAGCCGAATAAATAATCGATAACTAATTATTTGTTAATTAAATGAGAAAGAACAGAGCCATTGAGGTAATTTGTAAGGTCATTTTGGGTTTTTTTGGGGGTTTTCTTTAAAAAATCTTCACTCTTCTTGGACTTTCATCTTGAAATATTCCCTTGAAATCTCATTTCAAAAACGTCGTGAGAAGATTATTTCTGTAATATCATTGGAATCTCATAATTCTCTACACCCCGCGCATATAAATATAAATTACTATTGTTGTCCACATGTACGAGTGTATTTTACAATAAAAAAAAGAAATCCCTTTATTCAATTCACGGAAATGTTTTCGCAAAAATATTTTTCCATCTCCAACAGCGAATGCAATTCGGCGTGTTGTATTTATTTGCTGCTGTTTTTTGCGAGGATTTCAATGGAATATGTAACATCACATGTTAACGTATCATACATACCTCCGCCATTACGATACACGAGGAAGGGAAAACGCCAAACATTGCCGATCCCAACGGCATATCCGATGCAGGATAGAACAAACTCAATGGGATTCGCCCAACCTGCTCGTTCCACTGGCAACTCCACGAAAGCACCGCCAACCCCCAGTGATATCTTCTTCGCCTGCGAAAATCATTTCATTTTATTTCATTTCATTATTTTAATTTTTTTTTCTGGTGACAATACGGGGTCATCGGTTCGTAAGGGTCACTAGGGTGGTACGGTACATTGAACTCGTAACTATTGTAAATAAATATACTTATGTGATTATATTTGACCCTTATAGTTTTTCTCGTGGCCTTTATTAGACTCTCATGAGGCCCGCCTAACAAACAAAAGAGAATTGAATACCATTCTATGAAACACGAATGAACGAATCATAATTGTCCTAATCATTTAGGTCAGCCGAAAATAGAATAATTCTACTTCCTTAATATGGCGTTTACTACACGGAGAGAAATATTCAATAAAAATTACCAGAAAAAAGACGTAAAAATTACGTTTCGAAACGTAATCTGGGAGCGAAGTAAAATTCAATAAAAAGTGTCAATCGTCACGTAAATTCTACGATCTGTTCCGTAAAAATTACTCATCCGTCCGACGCCTCACGGCTAGCCATGAGTCACCGTGAGGGGGAGATTTTAACAACACGTTCCGTAATTTTTCCGGAACTTTTCGTAAAAATTCTTAAACATCCAAGAATTTTCATGTTCTGAGGCATAATAAGTCTTGAAGTTTCTGTTAGATTTTACAACTTCCAGAAAAATTACGTGACTTTTTCGTATTTTTTCGGTGACAGACCCGAAAATTTACTGAACGTTTCAGATTTATTCTGTTATATTTCTATAGAAATTCACTGAAAACGATTCTCGCTTGCGGATTACGTGAAATGTTCCGTAATTTTTCTTGAATATGTCTCTCCGTGTAAGGTTTTCTTCGAACAAAGTTTATTAGAATTAATTGCTAGAATTATGAGATTATCTCACATTTTTTTCGGTAAGGACAGGAGAATCTGAATGCAATATAGTGAAAATGATGATCGATTTTTTCACTTTGAACGAATAATATTAATATCCAAATACAAAATTTTTTATATGAATAAAAAAAACTGTGACTCAATATACGAAATGAAGTTTTCATTTTTAATTTGGCGCCGAAAACACGAGATGACAATTCTAAGCACGGAATTATATTGATGAGATGAACAATAGTTTAACTGAATACCGTGTGAACTAACTAAAAATTGACAACAGTGAGAGCACGCACTTTTATCAGAGTATCAACAAACATTGAATTCCAGAAATTCACACTCTAAAGTGTCTTCTAGAAGGAATTGAATTGTAATTATGATTAAAATCTTATTCAGTGAGCATAGGAATCAGAACATGAGCAAATCATTTATTGTAATATGAAAATTGAACAGCTGATAAATTGGGACATATGATTCTTATCGGTCGTATCGCTTTTTGCAATGAGAATGATTATAAGCAATTAATTGACAGAAGGAATATCGAATCTGACCGGAAAAAGGGCGGCTGGAGTGGCGCTAGCCATTACGAGTACTCGGTAATCACTGACTGTAACTAACAGAAGAATTCGTAATTAGTACTGTCGTCATTAGTCTAATCAGGCCCATTATCTCCTTCACTTTGTTATCGTAATGACCCTCAATGGGACTGCGAAGCCCCTCGGGCCGATTGTTGGCATTCCAAAGGTACAAATAAATATCCCAACGCGAGAGAAAACTTTTTGCCCCGTTGAAATTTTCATTCACGAATATCGCGATAAAATCGTAATTGGAAATGGTTTTTTTTCAATCCTCTCATCACTTCGAAATTCAATGAAAAACCAGAGGGATTTTTTTTTTCACTCCACAAGAGCTCCAATTTTTATAGCCTCTCTCGCTGGATCTGTCGTTGAATGCAACTGCACCGACATGAGTCGCGTCGGAAGCACATTATTCGGAGGATTTTATTCAGTCTAGTTATCCTGTATTTTTTATAACGCCAAATCGACTTTGAAAACCACTGATTTTTCGTATATTTGCGGCCCTCCGTTGAACTCCTTTCGGAAAATCCTGATGCGTTGGAGATTATGAAACCGCGGACTTCTCCATCCTCCATCATTAAAAAACTCGTTATGGAAAAAAAAACAAATGTAACAGGCTCTGAACTAGAGTCTCAGAGGGAAAATCGTTTTTTCCCTCTGAGACTCTAGTTTCCATTTTTACAGCTTCCCGCTCACGAGTTTCTCGTCAAATCCGACTAAACCGAGTCGCATCGGAAGCCCATTCTTCCCCATTTTATTTATTCCCGTCTATTTTATATATTTCCCTTGCGTAAAGCCCAAATAAATCCTCTGAAAACTTCATTCAGTCCATTCATAATCCAAATCTCTGAATCTAAATTTTCCTTATCATTATAATTACATTATTATATTATTGAAAATCACTGAAAATTGAAGGAAATTCGTCGTTGAAAATGCAACTGTTATGGAAAAATTAATCAAAACTTTCAATTTTAGGTCAATGTATTTTTGAATTTTCAATTAATTGGAAATTCAAGTAAATTTTCCACTTTAAATCCAAATCACTGAATCCAAATTTTGTTTATTCACTTTAAAAAAAAATTTGGCTGCCTTTTCCGACACACCCTTTGAAATCTTCACCACATCACATTATTACTATATTATTTCACTATTGTTCTTCCATTTTTATCATTACTATGATTATTATCACTAAAATTTGACGGTAACATCAATGGAAATTGTGAATTTCTTGAATGTATTCATGAATTTTCAATGAAACCCGAATTTAAATAATTGTCCAACAGAAAATTCGTCTCAAGCTCAATTTCAAACTCGCGTGCAAAATTTTTTTGGAGAAAACAAGTGAATAAAAAAAAAATGACACCTGTCCATAAATGCCCGGCAAAATGATAGCAAGTAATCCAATTGGAAATTTGTCAATCCATGTGGTCACCATATTTGACGGTTCAAATCTACGCGCTCCAGGCATTGGACGATGGGCGACGTTGAGCTCAAGTCTGTAGCGGATCGCATGGAGAGGTTATGTGAAATTGACGTGTTAGTCGCACAGGTTACAGTATCAACAAGTTAGTCTGTGGGAAAACTGATTAGTCTGTTCCCTCAGAATTAGACAGAACTCCCATTCGCCCACCACCGGTGCGGGGGGACTGACCGTTAATGAGGTACTTTCCCAAAAATGGGTGAGCACTAGCCTTACGCCAGAGGCTGACGCTCGTCCTGTTGCTCAAATCTTTGAAATTCCATTGAATTCAGTGAATTCAGTGAACAAATAGGATTTTAGAATGGAATTATAATAAAACGCTAATAGAATTCTCGTAAAATTTCAATAGCAATTCAACAAAATTTCTCAGGGAAAGCGAATTTTGGAGTTAAAATTTCGAAAAAAACATTCAAAAAGCCAAAACAACAATTATTAATCATTGATAATTTTTCCCGTCAATTCTAACTTCGATGAGTGGAACAATCCATCAAATTCTTTTTTCAATTATTTTTTTGAAGTATAGTCTCTCGTTTGACTAATGTGTCTTGACATAATACGCCGTTTCGGGCACGCTGAAACATTAATTATTTATTATAAAAGTTTGACATTGACGATAATTTTCATATTGGGCAATGAATTTTTATTCATTTTTTCGCATGTTTCGAGACTTTTTTGAGATTTTAATATTCTTCCTAAACTCAAAAAGTTAATTTCCTCATGAGACTCTGTGTTATTTTTACACAGATTAATTATTATCAATAATACTAGACTGTCGACTGAATAATTTTTTTATTCATATTATTTTCATTCAGAATTTTCATTTATATTTTATGAATTTTCGAGATTTTTTCTAGATTTTAATCCTAGTTTAAACACCCTACGCTACCCAGCGCATTAGTTACCTCCACAGGAATGTGCCGCCGTGTCATTTAGGCTTTAACGTTGCCGAATTCACTCTAGACTGTCCGGGCGCGTTTAGCGAGTTTCTGGCAACGTTGCGTGACGGGCGGTTTCATTTAATGTGGAGAAAAAAATTCTGTCGTTGAAAATAATTTATTTACTTTTGGACTTTTGGGAATTATTAAAATCCTTCTTGTTGTTCTAAAACTACTATAATGTGTTATACACTTCATTTAAAAACGTAATTTACCATTTTTTTTATTCTTCTTATTTAATGTAATTAACGAATAACGGCGTGTTGCAGCATTTCCCTCTTGTATTGACCAATCTAGGGTTTATCTTCTCCTTAGCCTCCAAAAGCTCATTTCTTCATAAGACCTTGTGCTAATTTTGCACTTCTAGATTAATTATTATCAATAAAACGAGACTGCGGATTGACCGCATACTCAACAAGAATTTTTTTATTCATTTCAACTTTTGCTCAGAATTTACCTCAGATTTTAATCTTCAAAATTTAAGTTATGTCCATACTACTTCAGTTTTCGTGGAAAGAGTTCAGAGCGGCCGCTAGCAGCTGTTGACGTATCAATAACAAAAAAAATGGGTTATCGTGTGTGTGACGACTGATAGTTATCGACAAATTCACATTAATCGGTACGCGCTGCGCCGCACGCCTCGCGCGGGGGCTTGTATAGTGTCTCAGTCGCTCTTACAGCGAATGAAGGTGTCACAGAGAGATAGGAGATGAAGGTAAAGTGAATGAATTAATGATTGCTTTAATTAATGATGATTTAATCCTTGTCTATTCTTGAATTTCTTATTTTTCTGCATTTATTCGAACAAAAGTGAGACTTGAAATATTTTCGACTCGAGAATGAAGAAAGGGAAGATGCCACAGTCGCACATTTACTATTTAAGATAGTAATTTTCAGAACGAATGAAAAATACGGCTGACAAAATTAAAATGTGATCGAGTACATTGGAAAAATTACTGTTGAACATAGTAAAAATTGACAGTCAGTATAATAGGAAATGATAGCATAAAAGTTGAATTTTCAATTGGCACGAGTAAAATTTCGGAGGATAAACATGAATTTTAACTTCGTCGATTAAAAAAATATTCCCTGCTCCCTTCCAAAATGAATATTCGCAGCAGAGGACGAGGGAGAGGGGGATTTTTTGCATAATCGAAGTGAAAAACCATATTTAATCTTCTTTATCATCCTTAAAAATTATTATCAATAATTTTGCTCCACGTATATGCATTCTGAAAAAGAAGAGGGCGGAGAGGAAGGATTGAATTCCAGTAGATTCCCGTTAACTTTCGCTCGTCGGGACCAATATCGATCGCAGTTCCGCGAAAGCGACACTTAAAAACAGCCCCCGCTCCGCGCACCGATTCCCCGAAATTTAAAGGGACTAGTGGTAATATGCATGTGGAGAGGGGATTTATTTTATTCGTGTTCTTCTCGTTTAGTTTATGGAGATAGAAACAACTGAGCGCGTGACACGATTAGGGGCAGAGTTTTTTAGGAAAAACTGCAAGGAATCGAGGCGTGCGAGTGGGGGATGTTTGCGTTCCGCGAAAAACGCTCGAAACCGAGAAATTCCCGGAATAGCGACAGTTAACGGGAGGACAGTTATCGAGAGTCTACTGTATTTAGAAATATAGAATCTGCCATCCGGGCCATTGCGCGGTCGACGGAGGGAGCGGATTCCAAGAATTGAAAATAATCGACGCTCTCGTCGTCCGTTGTAGTTTTTACTAGTCAACATAGTAATTTCTGCTATTTCCTCGAATAAAATGTAGGAGCCTTGAGAGTACAGTAGAGTCTCCCGATTATTCTTACTCCCTATGATTTTAGTTGGGGAAATTGCCTTCCCCCACCACTGAGTCCGTTCACGTGTAGTGGTAAGTGCGTGTGTCCCGCTGCGCGACGGAAACGCGCAGTGGGAGAATCTTCGGTGCCACCCGTCATGTGTTATGTATAGCCTCGTGTTTTGTCGTTTATAACCTCAACTTGCCCCCGGTGAAAACAAATTTGAAAAGAAAATCTCCAGTTTCAGTGGAGTTACACATTAAAATAAAAGCCGTAGACGAGGTAACAAGTGGGACTCCAGTTTCAGCAATTGCTGAAAATCTCAACGTTCACGAGGCCACTGTGAAGTCGTGGGTGAAACAAAAAGACAAACTCGAGAAATGGAAAAACGAGCTCGAAAATATTCTTCCTCGATCAAGAAAAAGATAAAACCAGTGAACATCTTGGTCGATAGAGCACTGTGGTGTTTGATAATAAAAACAATTAAACAGACAAAAGAGCCATTCTAATCATTTCACCCTCTGGATTTCATTTCATTTGACAGGTTGAGGTTATGGTTGCTCCCACTACAGGAAAAGTGAAACAGACAGATTTCACTCTCTCTCTCTCTGTTTCTCTCTTCTCAAGTCACGCCCTCCACGGAAAAGTGGGGGGTCCCAGGCCGTTTCAGTACGCCGAATTCTCAGTCTCAAGGCCAAAATAATAGGGAGACTCTACTGTATAAACTAAAGTTTTAAATCATAAGAAGAAATTACAATTTAATATAGTAAAACTTCCTATGATTTGAGTACTTTCCCGTCGTCCAATAGTAATAATTGGTGAAGAAATTAAGCGTTTGTAACACTTTTGAAAATCATTTTTTCGTCCCAGCATTTGATACTGTTTTATCCATTAAAAATTACTAGTTTAAATCGTAAAACATGAATTTCCCATCGTAAACGTTCGGTTAAAATAACTCAAACATCAAAATTCTTCCCTTATGTTCACATAGTAATTTTTAATTTTGAGAAAAATCAATCTCCAGCAAAACCCTCGCCACCTCCTTCCAAAGGAGCTCCAAAAAAACTCCCACCTATCGAAACGTATCCGTTCGCCTCCAGCACGTACCCTCTATCTCCCATTTTTATTTTCCCTCAGTACAAAGGCGCAGAAAAAATCGAGGAAAACGCCTGTGGAGTCGAAAAGTCACCGCACGATCCGAACGTTTGTCTTATCTCTCACGGCAATTTTTCTGTTCCAAACGTCCGGCCGAGTCCGAGTTTCCGGGGGTTGGAATTTTTTTTATATTTTTTTTGTACCCATTGAAAGCGAAATCACAGCTGACAGCTCCTGCAGTTGTACATTGCCGAGCAAAACCCCAGTGGGCACCTCCTCCCACACACATACATCAACACGAGAATGGCATAGAAAAGAGCCCAGAGGCCAGTGTCAATGTAGTAACCATCCATTCCAAACACATAAGTATGTGTATAGAAAGGTAACTGCGACACCCACTGTATTTAGCAAAGCTTTGGCAGTTTGAACGAACGATTTAATGGTTTTCGACGAGGCACAAAGCCCCCCGAGGTCTATCCCCATCCCTCAAAACCTCACACTCCCCCCCNCCCCCCCCCCCCCCCCCCTCCTCTTCCTCTCCCCAGTTAGATTGTCCCTCACACAAACGTTAATGGATCGTGTGTGCTGATTTTCGCTTGACGAGCGAAATAAAAAGGGGTAGCTTTTATTCACTGTTACCGACAATGAATAAAAAAAATTGAATACAAAAAGTGGCTAAACCGGTTTTCAGCCAATGCTGATGCCTACATTTTACACGGGTTTAATACACACATGTCCACGTGAATGTACAAGCTTTATTTTTCAGTTTTTTTTTTAATCATAAATTGGAAATATTGGGTTTTCCCACGGCAATTATTCTTTTATTATGGGAACATTGTCATTTTTGTGTTATACTTTATTCATTTGTATTCTATTATTTTTATATGAGGTTTATTTGCTCGACGAGCGAAATGAGAAGAAATAGTTTTCTTTTCACTGTTAAAAAAAATCAAACACAAAAAGTGGGTAGGGTGAACAAACTAATTGCTGGATAGGGGTTAATTAGTAGACAATCCAACTTTGATTAAATATTCTATAAATGGTATAAACATAACTGTACTGATTATTCCAATTTTCATGCGTAATACCACGAGAGCGTTAAAATTATCGGGTATTTCCCGATAGGTTCATTGCAAACAAACGAAGGAGTCAAGTTTGTCAGGCTCAAAAATCACGAGTGCGAAGCACGACTGATTTTTCCGGAAAAACTTGAAGACTTCATTTGTGCGCAGGGAACCTTGAGGGAAATACCTGATTAATTTTGAAGCACGAGTGGTATTTGGGAGAGAATTTTTTCCTCCAAATTTCGGCCAAGAGAATTGCACCATGAGACGAAATCAATCTGTCTGTTTCAGTGAACGGTTCGCTCAATTGAATGATCTTTTGTTTTTTTATATAGCAACGACCAGAGAAAATTATCAAAAAATTATCAGTTGAAAACCCTGTAGGTTGTACGACGTGACGTCGAATGGTGGAATTCTATTGGCTGAAATTTGGATGGGAAAAATTCTCAATATTTTTCGTACATAATCACGAAGCTTTTAAGAACAGCGCGTTTGCACTAGTCAATAATTTTTTTTTATTCCCAGAAAATTATCATTTTTGCATCAACAAAATCATTGCTATCGTCGATGGAAATAAAAAGGGGTAGCTTTTATTCATTGTTAAATGGAGAGAATTATTTTTTTCAACAACTAGTTGTTGAAATTCACTAAATAATTTTTTTCGTGTACGAAAATGAATAACAAAAATGAAATATAAAAAGTGGATAAACCGATTCCCTACAAATATTGATGCCCACATTGTGCATGGATTTACTACACACATATTCACATGCACAAGTCATTTTTATATTTCAGTTTTTAAAATCTCGAATTGACAAGACATTGCGTTTCCATCGCTCACAATTTTTTTTATTCTGAGGAAATTATTATTTCTGTATTGGGAGTGTGGCTCACACGGAGAGAAATATTCTTTTCCATAATTCCGGAGCGCAATGTGGTTGTAGGAAATTTTACGGAACTGTCACGTACGTTTTACCTAAAATCACGGAATTTTTCCACAATTGGTGTTCCGTAATCGGTAAGCGAACTGTGAATTCCGTAATTTTTACTGAACATTTCTCTCCGTGCAGTGGCGGAGCATTTAGCATCATCAATTCTATAATTTTTATTCATCCATTATTTCATTAATTATTTTTATTCTGTCATTTTTGCATTGGGTGTTTTTTTCGCTGGACGAGCGAAATGAGAGGAAGTAGCTTTCTTTCACTGTTAAAAAAATTAAACAAAAAAAAATAGCCACGGTGAACAGATGAAAACTGTACTGAAACTGCACTGAAATGTAATTTTCAAAAATATATTCTCATATATATTATCACGATGTTTTTTTTCGAAATATCAACACTTCTAATTGCGTATTTTTCACCATCAGTAATTGTTTGATTTATTAGTTTTTTAGATCTTAAACAGTAAGACCATTGTGTTTCTACTGGGCAATGATTTTTTCACTTTAAGAAAAATATTATTCTTGTACGGGAGCATTCAGCTGCATCAACTATAATTTTTATATTAATTTTTTTTCGCTCTACGATCGCTAGCTTTCATCCACCGTTACTCACAATGATTAAAAAAATAAAACACAAAAAGTGGATAGACCAATGTGTGACAAATGCTAATGTTCACATTATACAACACATATTCACATGCACGTGTCAGTTTTATACTTCTGTTTTTTAAATCTCAAATTGAAAAAATATTGCGTTTCCACTCGCCCACTATTTTTTTTATTCTGAAAAATTTATTATGGCTGTAGTGGGAGTATAGCTCAGTCGCGTCAACTATCATTTTAATTCAGAAACAACAACAATCATTTTAATTTCACTGTACGAACCCGCGATTCTCTCCCCGTTGAGGCCGCCATTCCCCGAGCGTTTGTCACTGACTCATTTCAACTCGAGCGAGCCAACAATCAATCGTGTACATCAGCTCTTTTTTTTATTTGATTTTCGGAGATTATTTTGTATTGGTATTTTATTATCGTTGATAGTGATGTTGAGAAAGCTTGTGATTTCTATCGTGAGTTGTCTTATCGGTGTAATAAATTCCGTGAGGTCTAATCTGTTGGTGTTGATGGGTGTCTCCCAGTGTCCATGGATTGACGAGATTAGTCAATGTGCTCGGCTATTTTTCCTTTACTCTTGACTTTGAGCTGCACTCGATGTTTTTATTCATGAAATTCCGGCGCGCGCTTTGATACTGAGGAGTGATTTTTTATTATTTTATTGGGGATTTATTAGGGGTTATTGGAGGCTTCGAGGGCACTTGACATGGTTTTATTTATTCAGCATTTATTTCGTATCTGTTTGAATGGGGGAAAAGTATGAAAATTTCAATGGGGACATGTTTTTAGAGGAATTGAGAGTGGGGATGGAAATGATTTTGGGAGTGCAAGTGATTTTGAACTATTTTGTAAATTTCGAGAAATTGCGAGGGTCAAAGAAGCTTAAGGGCCGGATGACAGAGAGTCTTGTAATCCCAAAAATGATTCACGCAAGAAAAAATCGGAATTCTGATTTTATTTCAGAATTCCGTTCCTTTAATGAACATTTTTTCAATAGAAAATGTCCACTAAAATATCGGTGTTGATAGATGTCTCCCAGTATCCATGGATTGACGAGATTAGGCAATGGGCTCGACTATTTCTCCTTTATTCTTGACTTTGAGCTGTACTCGATGTTCTTATTCATGGGATTCCGACGGGTACTTTTCGATACTGACGAGTGATTTTTATTATTTTACTGGGTATTTGCTAGGGGTTATTGGAGGCTTCGAGGGCACTTGACATGGTTTTATTTATTCAACATTTGTTTCGTATCTGTTTGAATGGGCGGAAAAGTATAGAAATTTCAATGGGGAAATGTTTTTAGAGGAGTTGAGAGTGGGGATGGAAATGATTTTGTGAGTGCAATTGACTTCGAATGATTTTGTGAATTTCGGGGAAATTGCAAGGGTCAAAGAGGATTGAGGGCCAGTTGGGCGAGGCTCTTATAATCCCAAAAAATATTCTCGATTATTTCACCTAGAATAATTTTTGGGATCACGCAAGGAAAAATTCCACTGAATTTTTTCAATAGAAAATGTCCAATGAGAACTATTCTATAGAAAAATGATCGGCATAATACATTCCGTGAAGTGTAATTTGTCGTTCTTGATGGATGTCTCCCAGTGTCCATGGATTGACGAGATTAGTCAATGGGCTCGACTATTTCTCCTTTATTCTTGACTTTGAGCTGTACTCGATGTTCTTATTCAAGGAATTCCGGCGGGTGCTTTGATACTGAGGAGTGATTTTTATTATTTTATTGGGTATTTGCTAGGGGTTATTGGAGGCTTCGAGGGCACTTGACATGGTTTTATTTATTCAACATTTGTTTCGTATCTGTTTGAATGGGCGGAAAAGTATAGAAATTTCAATGGGGAAATGTTTTTAGAGGAGTTGAGAGTGGGGATGGAAATGATTTTGTGAGTGCAATTGACTTCGAATGATTTTGTGAATTTCGGGGAAATTGCAAGGGTCAAAGAGGATTGAGGGCCAGTTGGGCGAGGCTTTTATAATCCCAAAAAATATTCTCGATTATTTCACCTAGAATAATTTTTGGGATCACGCCAGGAAAAATTCCACTGAATTTTTTCAATAGAAAATGTCCAATGAGAACTATTCTATAGACAAATGATCGGCATAATACATTCCGTGAAGTGTAATTTGTCGTTGTTGATGGATGTCTCCCGGTGTCCATGGATTGACGAGATTAGTCAATGGGCTCGACTATTTCTTCTTTATTCTTGACTTTGAGCTGTACTCGATGTTCTTATTCAAGGAATTCCGGCGGGTGCTTTGATACTGAGGAGTGATTTTTATTATTTTATTGGGTATTTGCTAGGGGTTATTGGAGGCTTCGAGAGCACTTGACATGGTTTTATTTATTCAGCATTTGTTTCGTATCTGTTTGAATGGGCGGAAAAGTATGGAAATTTCAATAGGGAAATGTTTTTAGAGGAATTGAGAGTGAGGATGGAAATGACTTTGTGAGTGCAATTGACTTCAAATGATTTTGTGAATTTCGGGGAAATAGCAAGGGTCAAAGAGGATTAAGGGCCAGTTGGGCGAGGCTCTTATAATCCCAAAACATGAGGAATTGAGAGTGGGGATTTTATGCATGTGAATTTTACCTACATGGAAATGATTTTGTGAGTGCAATTGATTTTGAATGATTTTGGGAATTTCGGGGAAAGTGCTAGGCTGAAAGGGGCTTAAGGGTCAGATGAGAGAGATCCTTCTAATATCAAAAATATATCAGAATAATAGAATAATTGAAAAACCTAGCGAATATTCTGTTGGATGTTTATAAAACTTCTATTTAAAATTCTATTAGTTTTTGTCTGATTCTATTTCCGAATTTCGGTTTTACTGGGCATTTTTCAATGGAAAACGTAAAAAAAATCTGTAGAATTCCATGTTTCTGTACAATTTCTTCTATAGAAATTTCTCGACGTGAATTTTTAATTTTTATTTCAATTCTGTTATTCTTCTCTGTTAATTAAAAACAATCAAATACAAAACTACGGAAATTTGAACCTAAGAATTTCTATAGAAAATATCGGAATAGAATAAGTTCTACAAAAAAATCCTATCAATTTTTTCGATAGAATATTTTCTGTTGAATATTTCCATTGAAAAGAAGCGCATAAGAGAGAAATTTGAATAGAATTCCTTTAGAATTATCTAGTGGATTCGCTAGGCCCTCTTATGAAATTTCCTCATATTTCGTATATCCAAAGGGGCGTAAAAGCTATGCTTATACACGCCACATTCGCCTCTTTGGGTTTACAACGCCGATGTGATTCCCTGGACGTGAACTAATTTCCAATATATTTTAATTTCCCGAAATTCATTTTCGTCAACATCTCTTATCAAACAGTCCGAGTGCTTCATTTATTTACCAAAATTTGCACTTAACCGCGGGAATCCTGAATAATATCAGAATTCGCCTTGAATGTAGCGAAAGTCCCCGCAGATAAGGCGAGAGAGAGAGAGAGAGAGAGAGAAGGGAGGGAGTTGTTGGTGCTTAATTCGGTCGATGCTTTTCTCGAGTACAATTCAATGTTGCATAATAGTATTGTTGAGGGGTAAACTCTTTGGAATGTAGCCAGAATCCCGGTATTCAGCTTGGAGATTTTGAACAAGATTTACAGGGGCCGGGTAGATGAGAGTAGGGGGGGAGGATTCCTTGAAAGCGGCAAAATAATCCCTTCGTTTTGCTTTCACCCCGGAGTATGCACTGTCTGATCCATCAAAACACTGGGAAAAGTAGTGTCTTCAAGACATCTCAATTTAAGACATTTAACGTCGTGAAGATTAAAATTTATAGTGTCTTACACTGATAGAATGATTCATTTATTCCAAACGAGATTCGTTAACTATTAACGAATGGTAGAGTTGAATATGACCAAATGAATATTCGTTAATAGTTAACGAATGGTTCACTTGAATGGCGAAAGTCAAGTCAAATAAGGCTCCTCAAATGTACATTCGTTAACTATGAACTATTAACTAACCTCCAACCAAAATCCATTCGTTAACAATAACTAATCCATTCCATCAGTGTAAAGTGAGACATTTTTTTCGTCTAAACACACATGTGGCCAAATTTATGACAATTAGAATATCTAGAATGCATGTCTCAACGCCTTAATGTAAGGCACCAAAAGATGACTCGATATTCCTTTTTTCAATTAATTATTTATAATCATTCTCATTGCCAAAAGCAATACGACCGATGAGAATCATACGTGCCATTTTATCAGCTGTTAAATTTTCGTATTACAATAAATGATTTGCTCATATTCTAATTCCTATGCTCACTGAATAACATTTGAATCATAATTACAATTCAATTCCTTCTAGAACACACTTTAGAGTGTGAATTTTTGGAATTCAATTTTTGCTGATACCCTGGTAAAAGTGCGTGCCCACACTGTTATCAATTTCTAGTTAGTTCACACGGTAATTCAATGAATTTGTTGTTCATCTCATCAATATATTTCCGTGCTTAGAATATTGTCATCTCGTGTTTTCAGCACTGAATTAAAAATTAAAATTTCATTTGGAATATTGAGTCACAGCTTCTTTTTATTCATATCAGAAATTTTTGATTTGGATGTTAATATTATTTGTTCAAAGTGAAAAAATCGATCATTTTCACTACATTGCATTCAGATTCTCCTATCCTTAACGTAAAAAATGTGAGATAATCTCATAATTCTAGCTGTTAACTCTAATCAATTTTGTGCAAAGAAAACCTTAGTAAACGCAATATTAAAAAAGTAGAATTATTCTATTTTCCTTTGGTCTAAATGATTTGGATGATTATGATTCGTTTATTCATGTTTCATAGAATGGTATTCAGTTCTCTATTGTTTGTTAGGCGGGCTTCATGAAAATTCGACGCAAGACGATTGTACTCATGAAAATCGACTTACTTTCTCCATTCGTTCACGATATCCGCCGTGGTCGAGTTTCCTTATCTAGTCAATGTTTATCACTATGATGTATTAATATCCTTGATGAATGCAATTAACCCTAAATAAAATAATTTCCAAAAATTTCGAGAGAAATTCCAGTGCAAAAGCGCATCCCAAACTTTTTCCTCCTGATATATCGGTGAAAAATTAATATTTCCGCTCTCACACGGGCAACGAAAATTCATTTAATGAAAATTCATGGAGAATTAACAGAACAGAATGGCGAAACTTTTATGTTCATTCTACTTTGTTCCATAACAGTATATTGATTTATCCGTTGCAATTTCAACAATAAAAAGAGGGGGAAAAGAACGATAAAATACTGGAAGGGAAAATTTCAAAGTAGAGCAGGGTAAATAAATATATGCAAGCGGGGGGGGGGGGGGG